CACTGTGAATTCCTTAGGGTGGTGCCAGTCTCATCTTCTTTAACTTCCCACGCTCCTGTTGAGGGCTAAGGAAACGCTTATCTCCCTGAGCCTGGCCTTCATAACACCATTCCATCACAGACACATTGGGGTGGGCAGGAAGATGGTTGGGCACCAAGAGAGATAATGTAGGTCTATTGGAACCTATCATGTTGACAATCTCTAAGGCATGATATCAGGCACAGTCCTTGTAGGGCATTAGATTTATTTTCAGAGAAGCCAGTGGTACTCACTCAATGTGCATACCCTTGGTTAACATAACCATGATTTATCCAATTCTCCCAATGTGGAGGTCCTAGACCAGTGTTTCTCAACCTCGGCGACTTTAAGATGCATGGACTTCAACTCCCAGAATTCCCCAGCCAGCATGGCTGGCTGGAGAATTCTGGGAGTTGAAGTCCATGCATCTTAAAGTCGCCGAGGTTGAGAAACACTGTCCTAGACTAACCCTAAGCTGTGTTCACCCAACATGCTGGGCTCTGGCAGGATTGTTGCTGGGTTTGGAATCCTATGTGCTGCCACTTTTCATGAGAGAAGAAACTGGGACACATCTGTAGGAAAGTCCAGGGCTTCTGTTTCTATACCATTCACAGGCAGCCTGTTGAGAATCCAGGACGACATGGCCAGCCTTTGGCAGCCGAACTGGTTTGGGACTCAGGCCTAAGCAGTGAATCTTGGCCTCCTTTTCTGCACAACCCATTTTCTTAGTGGTTCAGGAGTGGACAAAGCCCAGCAAACTCAAAGGGCAAAGTCATGCCATGCCACCCTCGAGTCCAGATGGGGAAATCCCATATTTGCATCCTCTGCCCATTCTAAAAAGCCAGCCTCCTCCCTGCTCCCAGGCCACACATGCTAGCTTACTTCAACAGCTTGTTTTCCTTCAATGCTAGGAATTTGTAAGCCATGCTCAGCAATCTGAAAGTGGCACCATCCAGAAAGAGACGCCTCCATTACAGAATGGCTGCCAGTTCATCTGCTGAGAAATGAGCCTCCAGGGTTGCCATCTCATTAGGATTTGTCCAGTGCAGAGAAGTGGGGACTACAATTCCCAGAAGCCTGCACTCTTCCCTTCTCCAGCTAGCAGACCAAAGTTATCTACAGGAGATCTCCTAGTTTGATAGCACGTTGATTCTCTTGGTGTTCTAATGCAGCTTTCCATTCATCTGGATAAATAGCCACTTGACTTCTCCAAGTTCTTGACCAATTGATGTCCACGAGAAATGCCCAATTTTGTTTGAGAAATACCAAAACAGAGAAGCAAAACTCCAGATCCCAGGGTGGAACCTCTTTTTAATGGATTAATAACCTCTGGGGGAAAGGAAATGGAATGGACTAATGTGGGAGAAGGACAGGACAGGATGCTAGGTTTCAGTATTTCAATATAGTGCAAATTCCACTTTTTTTCTGCTTCTGCTGAGCAGCAGCAGATTCCCCGCCACCATCCAAGTTAGGTAGCTATTTTTTTTTCTTTGCAGCGCTGAAAAAGAGAATGATGAAACCTGCCCAGCCACATTCTCTTCCTCTCGCAGCTCGCCGGGTGTCCTTGCCTGTCTTGGCCTCCTCCGGACATCAAGCAAAGGTGGCCATAAACAGTGGTATGTACGTAGAATTGCAACAAGACTGAGGTTTACTAATTGATGTTTGGCAGCCTTGCAAATTCCCAGGATTTGGAGCATATTAGACTTTTTTTTTTGGTCTCAGCAATGAAAGAGTTTTACTGAAATAAATGCTGACAATTTACAAGAAATTTGGAATAGAAAATTAGAGTCTGCTATATTAACATTACTACCGCATGTTTTTTTTAAATGTTATGCATCTTTCTTGTAACTTTAAGATGAGATTAATTCACCAAAAATTCTATTTGGGGTCTACTGGAGCCCTTGATGGACATTCCTAGGTTTGAAGATGGAACAAAGGTACTTTAAAAGGTACTTTAGCATCCATGATTCAGTTGTGTGGTCTACAATAGCTGTTCCATATTGTTTGAATATTGAATAGAACCAGGTTCGAAGAAGGGAGTTAAGATTTTGAAACCATCTTTCAAAAAATTGGAATGTATCTACAGGAAGGACACTGAATCTCTCATGTTAGGGGTGTTGCAAAGGAGGTCACTATGCGCTCTTAGGAAGACACATCAAAGGTTGGTTTTGTGAAATGTGTGTACTCTCACCCTTTGAACTAGCTCTTCATGGACACAATCAAAAACCTGGGCAATATGATTCTATGTCAAGTTCTAAACTGTTTCAAAACAGAGGCACTAAAGGCAGTTTTCCAGTTTAGGGATGCCAAGTTGTGTTGGACTGGAACACCTGTCAACCACACCTAGCATTTGTCTTGTTTTGCAATAATTGACTGGGGTTTACTAGTTGTGCCAAACAGCTGGGATAAAACCCTTCTCTCAACAGCACATACTGCATTATATCAATAAAAACTAAGAAACGTATTGTTGTTTTTTAAAGGAGTTGAGATCTCCCAGAAAGTGAAGTCTGAATCTAAATATACCACTGTACAATGAGTCCCATGTTTCTTTGGAAGCCCAAGGAGTCAAAAGTCAACCTTTGGTGCTATATCTGGAAGTACACATGCATATTCCTTGTTTTATTTATTTATTTATTATTTATTATTTAAATGTATTATAGCCGCCCAACTCCCATGGACTCTAGGTGACATACAAAACAAAACAAAAAAATCCATAAAAACAAATAAAACCTAAAACCATAAAGACAGTCCAGACTAAAATGATATAAAAATGACACAAATGAAACAAAATAAAACAGCCCCCCAAAAAACAATACATTAACCCCAGGCCTGGGACCAAGGCCAGGTTTTAAGAGCTTTCTGGAACCTCAGGAGAGAGGGTGCTGTCCTTATTTCTGGGGAGATTCTGTTCTAGAGGATGGGGGCCATGACAGAGAAGGCACGCTTCTTCAGTCCCACAAGATGACTACATTTAATAGAGGGGACCTGGAGTGTACCCACTTTGCCAGAACATACTGGGTGGGTAGAAAGTTCTGCTTCTGAGGTGTTCATCCTTGTTCTTTGAACCTTTTTTGCAGATCCTTTCCTGGCCCCAAAAGATGAGAAGGTAACTAAGTTTGCATCAAATCACAAATTCATTCAAGCATCTGGAGCATTCTTTGCTCGTACTCTTGCAGTAACACAACCAGGTGCACCAGTTACTACCAGCCTCAAAATTTTCTCTCCCTCTTGCAGGATGAGCCTAAAGATGAACCTATCTATGTGGAATGTGAAGCCACCACAGGTGAAGCCCTTTCTTTTGATCCCTTATCTTCTATAAGGTAGCACTTCTGGGGAGCTCAATGGGAGCTCACATGCTTTGGCTACAGAAAGTTGCCAACTCATTATTCAGTGGCATATCCAATTAGAAGGAGATGAAGAGAAGAATTCTTCTCTGCTTCAGGTGATGGAAACCCGCTCTTAACTAGAGTAAATCAAAATGCTACCAGGCTAGGCTGATGAATGACCTCACCTGGTGCACAATAGCTTCCTCAACTGACCAACAGAACTTGGCTTTATTCCCTAAGATGTTGCCTTGGGACTGCAACCTTCAGTAATTCCAACCAGCATGGCCAGGACTCCTAGGAAGTGCACCCAAAATAGGAAGGGCAACAACTTTGGCAAGTCTATGGCATGGCCTTTCACTGCATGTTTTGTTTTGAATGATTCATGGAGATGGTCATCATTGGTGGGTTTCTAGGATGAGTTCTACATGGAATGAGTCACTTTACTGGTGACTTGAAGTGTGTTCCTGACAGTCCTGGATTCCAACTAAATCATAACAGCATTTTTTGCCCAACTGGTCCAGGGTGATATAGTGTTTTAGCCTTGTATCTTCCATTCTTGCTTGTTGAACTTCATTTCCACTCTTTGGGTCTGCCGTCACCTCTGAATTTGCAGACTGTGATTGTGTTTGCATTATGCACTGAACTGTGTTGTGCACATCCAGTCTGTGAGATTGGTTAGTGGTAGGTTTGGCGTGCTGTACAAACCCAGAAAATTGTGTTGAATTAATGCAGCTAAATTTACAGTGGACAAGCATGCTGAGTGAACACACCCCGTGGCTTGTACCTTCCCTTCAAATTGTACCTTCCCTTCCAAGCTAAACTTGGTTAAATTGATGATAGACATGTATGTTGAGTGATTACAGTCTACGGCTTGTACTTTCCCTTCAAACTAGGATTTGCACAATCACATTTGAAAAACTACTCTGGTTTTTATTTGTTTGTTTGTTTGCTTAATTTGTTCAATTTAGATAGCAGCCCGTCTCACCTAGGTGACTTTGGGTGGCTCACTAAGCTGAAACACAAAAAAATAGTGCCAAAAAAATAACCCAAATCATACCACAAAAACCATTAAAACACATTAAAAAGAATAGAAACTGCTTTATAAAAAACATAATCTGCGAGAGTGTAATCCAATTTGCTAACAATATAGCAATTTAGCAGGCCTCACATCACCACTACAGATCCCCAGGCAAGATGGCAAAGCCAAGTCTTCAGGCCCTTCTGGAAGGCCAAGGAAGTTGGGGCCAATCTGACCTCAGGGGGCGATGTTCAAAAGGGCAGGTGCCGCGGCAGAAAAGGCTGTCTTCCTGGGTCCTGTCAGATGACATTCTTTAGTGGATGGGACCTGTAACATGCCATTTTTTGCTGGACCTGATGGGACAGGTAGATCTAATCGGGAAGAGGCAGTTCCTTAAATAACCTGGCCCTTTTCAACCTTGACCGGGGACAAGTTGCTCCAAACTTTCCAAGAGAGGTCCTGAGCTTCCTGTAAGCCACGTTTCTCCTAGACCTGATTTCTTTTTCATTTCTTGCCAGCCGTGGTGCCCTGCAAAGGGCTTACTTCTCAAGTCCTGGAACCTCTAACCTGCCTCTTGAAGCAAGCCAAGTGAGTATGATATATCCCGAGAAAGTGGGTAGGAAAGATGGATACCCATGTTTTCCCATAAATATTCCAGACCTGAAATTACAGGCTCCATGGTTCCAAATCTGGAGACTAGATCTACCTCCTGGATGCACCTAGTCTCCAGGGCACACAAAGACTGAAGGATTGGGTTTATTCTGATGCAGAAAGTTGAGAATTATCCTAATCTGGATGTTGCATGCAGAAGCTTGGAAGCAAAGACTACTGCTTGTGGGTCATTTCTATTCATGATGGACGCAAGAGCAATTCTGGTCTAGAAATGCAGGAGTCTGTTGGGTGGACAATGGCTTGGCGAAAATATTAAGGATAATCATGCAGGTGGGGCAAGAGTTCAGACAGGGAATCAGGACCACGGAGAGCTCCAAGCAATGCTGGATTGGTGTCAGGTTGGATCCAAACATCTAAGGACAGAAAACTAAGGTCTTGCTTCAGGAAAGGCCTGCAGCAACTTGTGGGTTTAAACCAGTGTTTTTCAAACTTGGCAACTTTAATCTGTGGACTTCAACTCCTAGAATTCCCCAGCTAGCATGGTCAATTGTTTTGTGAAAAGGTGGCTGATACACACACACATATACCCTACATGGCAGCCATTTTGTAAGAGCACCCATAGCATGCTCTCAAAATTCTAAATGCGCCACTTGTCTGTGATACAACGCACCATGTAAGATCTATCTCTTACACATTATAGTATGGATTCCATGTAGTACAATCCTCTCTATTTTTCTCTCTATTAGGTCCAAAATTTCTCCACTTGGACAGCAGGTGAGTGGTAAAACATGACATAAGGAGCAGAAATCCAGCATTTGTGGGAAAAGAGGCAACTCTAGAAATGCCTGTATAATTTTTTAAGGAACTCTTCATTCATTTGTATATTTATGAGCATGGTTGAGTTGCAGAATTTGTGGTGTACCAAAGCAAGCTCAAGATAAGGCCTCGCACCCCATCATTCTGCAGATAACAAGTTGGGGAGGAAAGCTTTGCACAGGACCATCAGCTTCTTGGAAGGACCAGATAAAAGCACAATAAATAAATGAAATAAATTGGGTCCTGTAGGTGCTTAGCAACTCTTTCCAGGACCCCATTTTAAAAATATTTGCAGAAAAAGTAGGTTTGAATCAAAGCCCTGAACATCATATATACCTATATGCCTTCCTTGGCTTCATGGATCAAAGGTCATGCAGCTTTGTGCTGTGAAAAACATATCTGGGCCAGAGCTGGCTCTATCCTTGAGCAACACCCTTTCAGTGTCATCAAATAGCAAAAACACACTATTTATTTGCCTTGGTATTATTGTAACTTTACTTCTAGGGGCAGGGAGAAATTCCTATGAGGCCTTGTGAACAAAAGTAATGTGGCTGGTTTGGGTTACTATGGTCCAGTGTTTCTCAACCTTGGCAACTTTAAGATGTGTGGACTTCAACTCCCAGAATTCCCCAGCCAGCATAGC